GAAATGAGATGAAATGAGAGAAAAACTCACACTTTTTTTTTATTTACACCCCCTAGCCCATTCCCCCACCCCACCCCTTTTACCATTGATGATTGTCCCTCCTACCCAGGAATAATGAGAAGAGGTTACAGGCTGGGTGGTTTTGGAAATAAAATAGGGATATTGTTATTAAATGTCACTATAATCTTGAGCTGTCTCTATCTACATTTTTTTGGAAATATGCATCTTTTTCATCACCCAGGAATCTGATAGTCTGCAGAAGGAACTAAAGTTTAATGTAAGGAAAGTTTATAAAGCTGCTGTTCAAGAAAATTTATGGTTTTAAAGATTCATAAATCAGTATCCAAAAATTAATAGTCACATTTTAATAAACTAAAAATTTGTGGTTCCAGCAACTCGTGCTCCAAGAAAAGATAAATAAGAACCTCTCTGTATTCTGGTGGCTCTGCAGATATTGGGGTAATTAGCCCAAGAAATTCTGGTCTTCAAACTGTTTAGAATTTTTTTTTCCTTAAATTTTTATTAGTGAAACACCATGAGGTACAGTTGTAGACTTACAAATTTTTGTGCTTGGGTTTCAGTTATACAATGATCGAATATCCATCCCTCCATCAGTGCCCATTCTCCACCACCACCAGTCCCAGTATCCCTCCCATCCCCCTTCCTCCCATCCCACCCTACCACTGTGGCAGGGAATTCCCTTTTGTTTATCTCTCTCCTTTTTAGTGCTGTGGTTTGTAAAAGAGACATTGAGTGGAAATCTTGTTTGGACTATAGTCTACTCTCATCACGCATTTCCCATCCTGAAAGGAACCTCCCAACCCCCTTTATTTGGTGCTCCCTTCTCTATCTGAGCTGCGTTTTCTCCTAGCATGCCTCATCTCCTAGTGGCTGTCCTCAAAGCCATAGGGTAATCCTCCTGGTATTTATCTCGGCTATTCTTGGGTGTTAGTCTCCTATTTTGTTACTTTATTTTCCCCAGATGAATGCAATCTTTCTACGGCTATACCTCTCTTTCTGACTCATTTCACTTGGCATGATAGTTTCCATGTAGTTCCACTTGTATGTAAATTTCATGACTTCATCCTTTCTGACAGCTACGTAGTATTCCATTGTGTAGATGTACCAAAGCTTCTTTAACCAGTCATCTGTTCTTGGGCAGTCAGTTTTTTCCCAGATTCTAACTATTGTAAACAGTGCTGCAATGAACAGACAACTGCAGATGTTGCTTCGATTATACTTTTTTGCCTCTCCGGGGTATATTCCCAGGAGTGGAATTGCTGGGTTAAATGGGAGCTCAATTTCTAGTTTTTTGAGAATCGTCCATACTGTTTTCCAGAAGGGCTGAACCAGTCGGCATTCCCACCAGCAGTGAAGGAGGGTCCCTTTCTTGCCATATCCGCGCTAACACTGGTTGCTTTTGTTCTTTTGGATGTGGGCCAGTCTCTGTGGTGTGAAATGATACCTCATTGTTGTTTTGATCTGCATCTCCCTGATGATTAATGATGTAGAGCATTTTCTCATGTGTCTTTTAGCCATTCGAATTTCATCTTTGATGCAGTTTCTGTTCATTTCATCGCCCCATTTTCTGATAGGGTTGGGTGTTTTCTTCTTGTGGAGTTCAACGAGTACTTTGTATATCCTTGATATTAGCCCCTTGTCGGATGTGTGTTTGGTGAATATCCTTTCCCGTTCTGTGGACTGTCTTTGTATTTTGGTCACTGTTTCTTTTGAGGTGCAGAAGTTTCTTAGTTTAAGATAGTCCCATTTGTCTATCTCTGTTTTCACTTGCTTAGCTAGTGGCGTGACATCTTTGAAGACACCATTAGCTTCAATGTCATAGAGGGTTTTGCCAACTTTGTCTTCAATGTACCTTATGGATTCCAGTCTGATGCTGAGGTCTTTAATCCATTTTGATCTTACTTTTGTACATGATGTTAGGCAGAGATCTGAGCCCATTTTTTTTGCATGTAGCTGTCCAGTAAAACTCATACATTTGGAAGTCAAACAATTCACTACTGAACAAGTTGATCAAAGAGGAAATCAGAAGACTCCTGGAAACAAATGAGAATGTAAATACATTCGACCAGAATGTATGGGATACAGCAAAAACAATATTAAGAAGAAACACTCTGTGGTTTCTAGAAAACCACCAATGTGGTTTCCTCATAGCAAAGCAAGCTGCAGGCATTCACTGAGAAGAAAAGTGGGGGTGAAACATATAGATATATTTCTAAAACACAGACTCAACAACACTGAAAACATGAGATCTAAGCAGCAAACACAGGAACTTTGTAATGTGTCTGTCAAGGTGACAGGCAAGAATGGGGGGCTTGGAAGGTGGGGAGAGAACACGGAAACACTGGTGGAGGGAAGATGACACTTGGTGGTGGGATTGGTGTTGAAATAGTGTATGCTTAAAATTCAACTATCAATCACTTAGTAAATCACAGTTCTTTAGTAAAAAATTACTTAAAAAATAAAGAAAAGGCCCATATATGTAACCTAACAGTACAGCTTAAGCGGCTAGGAAAAGAAAAGAAAAGGAACCTAAAACAAATGGAGGTAGGCAATAATAATACTTAGGGCAGAAATTAATGAAATGGATATTTTAAAAAATTCAAAAGATCAATGAATAAACAAGCTTGACAAACATTAGCAGGCTCACAAAGAAAAAAGAGAGAAAACCCTAGTAAATAGAATCAAAAATGAAATAGGAAATGTCATAACTGATAGCATAGAAATTCAAAGGGTCATCGGGCAGTACTTTGGAAATCATTATGCCACAACACTGGAGAACTTAGAAGAAATTAATCCTGGTTTTTTGGACTTCTATAACCTTGCAAGATGAAATCAGTAATAAACAGAGCACTAGTGTGAAAACAGTGCTCAGTTTACTCTTGAATAAACCAGTTATTATCAAGGAAATCAAAATGGCAATCAAATGTTTCCGCAAAACAAAATTCCAGGCCCAGACTGGTTTACTAATGAGTTTACTCAAACCTTTTAAGAAGACCTGCTTCCAATCCTTTTCAGACTACTTCAGAAAATTGAAGACATGGAATACTGTAGATTACCTTGATACTAAAAGCAGACAGAGACATTGTAAAAAATAAAGAAAGGAAGCTGTAGATCTGTATCCTTGATGAACATAGATGTAACAATCCCCAACAAAATATTAGCAAACAAAATCCAACAGTACTTCAAAAGGATCATATACCACAAGCAATAGGATTCACCCCAGAAATGCAAAAAAAAAGTTTTATATATGCAAATAAGATAATACACCATATGAAGACAAGGAAAAATAATGATCAAATGACTGTATAAACAGGTTCAGAGAAAGAAAGATCCAACTCTCAATAAAATGGAGAGTGAAGGGACTTTTCTCAACATACTTAAAGCCATTTACCACAAGCCCACAGAAAACATTGTATTCAATGGTTAAAAAAGGAAAGCCTTTCCTCTAAGAGCAAGTACAAGACAAGACTGCTCATTCTCACCACTACTACTCAATACAGTATTGGAAGTCCTGGACATAGAATTAGATAACAAAGAGATATTAAGGTCATTCAGATAGGAACAAAAGTCAAGCTAACTTTATGCAGATGACACGATGCCATGCCTAGAAAACCTGTCTCTACAAAAAACCTAATAGTAAAAGTATTTGACCAATAATCTATACAGAAATGGTGAAGATTAGAAAAGACTAGTAAAATTAACACAACAATAAGTGAAAGAAATGAAATATAAAACAAGGCATCAAAAACTTAAAAATCAAATTGGGAATAAAACCAAAGGTATGAAATGTGTTCTCAAATGTAAACAACAATCAACCCCAAAATAAACAATATACACATAAAAGATTTTGGCTGAATCTCTGAAAAATACAAACAAAAATTAATAGTAAAAAATTTAGAAAGGAACCTAAATATACCAATAGAGAAATTCATTGAGGGCCATGGGCATGGATAGATGTGGGTGAGCACATACCCCAAATGTGTAGTCTTGAATTTAACTGATTCTAGCATCGCAAGATTTGTTGAGCACTGTAGATCAGGCTCTCGTTGCCTAGAGGGCCTCTGGGCCCTGGATACCTCAGCACTTGGCCTGTACATCACTGGAAATGGCGTTTGGACCCCTGAGCATCGCTGAATGGTGGCCCCATAAACATGGAGCATGGTATTACCTTTTTGGTCCCTGCCTCATTTCTGAATTTTTGGTGAATATTTTTTTCTTGGCTTATATCCTCCTATTCTCCATTTCTCAGCCTCGTTTTTCAGGCCTTACTATTTGGCCTCAATTATTATCTTTGATAAGATGCCATTTAATAATAATAGCAATAATCAAGATGATAGCATTTTATGTGATCTATCTACTTGTGTTCCAAAACTGGAATGGCAGCACTCACAATACCAAATGGAATTAGAAAAAAAGTTCGTGGTTTCCTCATTATAGTTTCTTTCTTCAAAATAGCTTGCATTCTACTGGGGAAAGCTATTTTTACTCAGGTACCCTAATTTAATCCAACTATTCAATTTCAAACTTTTTCCAAAGCATAAATTAATTTCTTGACAAACATTTTTTGAGGATTTTTTTTAATTTTCAAAGAGGTTCTCTGATGCAAGCAAAATGACAAATAATGAGAACAAGAGAGAATTTAAATAGAAGTATATTATTCTATTAAGCATTTGCTTAAAAATATAATGCATAATAGCCATCATCACAATCAAAATTTGCACAAGCAGAAGCTGATATGACATGATGAATAATTTGGTAATTACAATTTTTTTAAGTCAAAGTATAACATAAATGCAGGAAGGCACACAGATCATAAAAATATCACTCAATGAATTTTCACAAAGTAAATACATCCTTGTAATCATATCCAGATTCAAAAAAGTAAGTAACCAACCATGTCCTACTAAAATAAATAGAAAGGACACTGAAGAAGTATTGATTAACACAAAAAAGCACTTAAAAATAGCGTTAATTCTTACCAACTCCAGAGGTTATTGATTCTGCATCAATATCACTTGCTCTTTTTCTTGCCACTTCAGCTAGTGCCAATTCACCCTTATCTAGTGCAAGGTAATGGATGTCCTTTGGAAATAAGCAAAATAAAAGATTAATCCAAAATGAATCTTGGTCAGGTTACAAAGGAGCATCTGAAAGAAAGAAACCTGTTTTGATTACAAAACACACATGGCCAATGAATATTCTTTTTTGTGTTTTAATTTTCTCAGTTATCTTTTTCAGCATAAGCAAATTTTGTTGAATTGAAGATCAAAGTCATAACTATTGTAGCTAAAGTAGTTTAGCTATTTAGGGGAAAAATACAAGGTCTTAACAAAATGTTTAACTCAATATGTTTTGCCAGAATAAAAAATTTTAGCTTATTTTTCTCTGATGAGAATATTTGAAGGAGCTTCATTATATATTATGCTAATAAACTTTTTACAAGGAATACTGCATAAATCTGGCTGATATGTATTTGCCAATATTATTTTAATATTATTAATTTTATAGCACAGTGGTAAGGCATTTGCCTTGCATGCGGCCAACCCGGCCAACCTGGGTTCTATTCTTCGGCCCCCTCTCGGAGAGCCCGGCAAGCTACTGAGAGTATCTTGCCCGCACGGCAGAGCCTGGCAAGCTACCCGTGACATATTCGATATGCCAAAACACAGTAACAACAAGTCTCACAATGGAGATGTTACTGGGCCCGCTCTAGGAAATCAATGAACAATGGGAGAACAGTGCTACAGTGACAGTGCTATTATTATTTGAACTCATTCATTTAACGTATAAACAGTGCCTCTAAGAGTCAGGTATTCTGTCTGGAGTGCAGAGACCAAGTCTATTGTCTCTTTTTTTTTGGGGGGGGCCACACCTGGTGATGCTCAGGGATCACTCCTGGAAGTGCTCAGGGGACCATATGGGGTGGCAGAGATCTAGTCTGGTTGGCAGTATACAAGGCAAGTGCCTTACCTACTGTAATATCTCTCCAGTTCCTGATAATTACAGTCTTAAGAAGCTACTAGAGGGGAGGTAGGCCACTGGAAACCAACTGTTAATTACATAACAGTGTGTAGGTTTAACGGCTGATAATTGTTCAGAGTACTTTGAAGTAAAGAGGAGCAGCTGGTACCAGAAATGAATTTGTGCATAAGAGGTTAGACTTGGAGGGAAAATATAGAAAATGTGTTGGATATTGTGAACAGTACAGCAATGAACATAGAAGTGCAGATGTTATTTCTTTCTTTTTTTTTTTTTGATATGCTTTACTTTTATTTTCATTTAGTTAAAAATGTTTTCTCATTTCCCTGTGTGAACTTTTTTTTTTTTGACCTATGGTATATTTTTTAAATTTTTTTTATCTTTTGATTTTTATTAGTGAAACATCATGAGGTACAGTTGTAGACTTACAAATTTTTGTGCTTGGGTTTCAGTTATACAATGATAAAGTACCCATCTGCAGATGTCATTTCGACTGTACTTTTTGCCTCTCCAGAATATATTCCCAGGACTGGTATTGTTGGGTCAAATGGGAGCTCAATTTCTGATTTTTTGAGAATCGTCCATACTGTTTTCCAAAAGGGCTGAACCAGTCGGCATTCCCACTAGCAGTGAAGGAGAGTCCCTTTCTCGCCACATCTGTGCCAGCACTAGTTGTTCTTGTTCTTTTTGATGTGTGTCAGTTTCTGTGATGTGAGATATCTCATTGTTGTTTTGATCTGCATCTCTCTGATGAATAGTGATGTAGAACATTTTCTCATGTGCCTTTTTGCCATTCAGATTTCTTCTTTGAGAAAGTTTCTATTCATTTCGTCGCCCCATTTTTTGATGGGGTTGGATTTTTCTTCTTCTGGAGTTCAACCAGTCCTTTGTATATCCTTGATATCAACCCTTTGTCGGCTGGAGAACAAATGACTGGTTAAAGAAACTTTGGTACATCTATACAATGGAGTACTATACAGCTGTTAGAAAAGATGAAGTTATGAAATTTACATATAAGTGGTACTACATGGAAAGTATCATACTAACTGAAATGAGTCAGAAAGAGAGGGACAGACATAGAAAGATTGCATTCATCTGGGGACTATAAAGTAACAAAATTGGAAACTAACACCCAAGAATAGCCGAGATAAGTACCAGGAGGTTCACTCCATTGCTTGAAGGCCAGCCGCACATGCTAGGGGAAAAGGCAGCTCAGATAGAGAAGGAAACACTAAGTAAAGGGTTTCGGGGGTATCCCCCCAGGATGAGAGATGCACGCTGAAAGTAGACTATAGACTGAACATGATTGCCACTCAATGCCTCTTTTGCAAACCTCAGCATCCAAAAGGAGAGAGAACAAAAGAGAATGCCCTGCCACAGAGGTGGGATGGGACGCGGGGATGAGGGGGTGGGAGGGATACTGGGATCGTTGGTGGTGGAGAATGGGCGCTGGTGGAGGGATGGGTACTCGATCATTGTATAACTGAAACCCAAGCACAAAAACTTGTAAGTCCACAACTGTATTTCATGGTGTTTCATTAATAAAAATTAAAAAACAAAGTGTTGGAGAATCAGGATACCTGGTACATGTATGCAGAAAAACTTAAGAAAATAAAAGTTTTCTCAGATGATAGATTTTTCCAAATGAAGGAAAGACTTGGATGTATGGGGGGAAGCAGTGAAAAGTAACACTTAAAAAATCTAAATAAATATTTTTTAAAATAGGCAGAGTCAAGTACTCAGATCTCCTGTTTGTAACAGCATGATTGTTGAAATGAAACTTTTAATAATAAAAAAGGAACAGCATATTTATAAATGAACTGTCAATGAGTTTTTATGAAAAGGTGTCTCACTTCATTAATATTAAAATAATCCAAACTGAAAAAAATTGCAAATTATGTAGGTTTTTAAAAGTTGGTAATTATAAGTAGCAAAGTTTTGGAAAAAAAACAGCACTTACTTTACTGGGAATATAAAACTTTATAGAGCAGAAGTCAATAAACTTTGGTTTTACAATGCAATGATATTCTATACTTTTAAGTAATAGCTAAAAATGTCATCTTATCTGTAAATATGCTCAATTAAAATAATATGCTCAGGAACTAATATCTCACAGAACTACCCTATGAGGAAAAGAAATAGAAAGGAGAAAAAAGTCTAATCATAGAACAACATTAATACATGAATATTGCAATAGATTTTGAAGAAAAGGAATACCTGTATGTACCCTTCATTATAGACATGTTATCCTGTGCCTGTCAAGTAGATTCCAGGGGGTTAATTGGTGGGGAGGGAATACAGAACACTGGTGGAGGGAAGCTGACACTGGTGGTAGGATTGGTGTTAAAATATTATATGCCTAAAATTCAACTAGCAATAAATTTGTATATCACAGTTCTTTAATAAAAGCACCCAAAAAGAGAGATAAAACAAAAGGGAGTGCCCTGCCACAGAGGCAGGGTGGGATGGGGGATGGGGGGGGATACTGGGATTGGTGGGGGTAGAGGATGGGCACTGGTGGAGGGATGGGTACTTGATCATTGTATAACTGAAACCCAAGCACAAAAATTTGTAAGTCCACAACTGTACCTCATGGTGTTTCACTAATAAAAAAAAATGAAAGAACCCATTATCCCATCTGCCAATAATACCATTATTAACATTTGTAGACCTGTGGAGCAACAGCACAGTGGTAGGGCGTTTGCCTTGCACGCAGCCAACATGGCCGACCCGAGTTCGATTCCTCCGCCCCTCTCAGAGAGCCCGGCAAGCTACCGAGAGTATCTCGCCCCCACAGCAGAGCCTGGCAAGCTCCCCGTGACGTATTTGATATGCCAAACACAGTAACAACAAAGTCTCCAATGGAGACGTTACTGGGCCCACTTGGGCAAATTGATGAACAACGGGAGGACAGTGACAGTGACTCAGAGAGAAAGAAAGAGAGAGAGAGAGAGAGAGAGAGAGAGAGAGAGAGAGAGAGAGAGAGAGAGAGAAGTACCTGCTACAGAGACAGGCAGGAGTGGGGACAGAAGTGAAAATGGGAACATTGGTGGTGGAAATGTACACTGGTGAAGGGATGGATGTTGAAAAAAATTAATTAAAAAATAAAACTTTACTCAATTATTTATATATAAAATTTCATCAGCAGTTTGTAGAAATGTGTTTTCTTTTGTTACACACAGTACCATTAGAATAACTTCAAGTTTTCAACCTATTTGCTGATTCCAAATTTTAACAATGTACTAGAATTAAATTTTTTATGTATGTAACTATGGGTTGCCATCCTAGAAGAAAAATGTGATTGTATAGGCTCAAGATTGGTGACATTTATAACAATAAAATTAACTGGCTAAAACAAAGAAAACTTGAAAGCAATATGACATTGGCCTAACAACTGAATACTTGGTACTTTTTCTCAGTTAATCCAAGGGTATGATATTTTCATTATAATTTAATGTATTAAAGAAATTATAATAATTAAAAATATACTACTATATTAAGTTACTATATTAGATTACAATATTTATTAAATACCTTTTATTTATTATATCATCTATGATTCTGTTTTTGTTTTGTGGTTCTGGGGTGTGAACACAGGGTATCAACATAAGAGGTAAATGCTCTACCCTTTTTTTTTTTAATTTTTATTAGTGAAACACCATGGGGTACAGTTGCAGATTTACAAATTTTTGTGCTTGGGTTTTGGTTATACAATGATCAAATACCCATCCCTCCACCAGTGCCCATTTCCCACCACCACAGATCCCAGTATCCCTCTCACCCTCATCCTCCCCATCCCACTCTGCCTCTGTGGCAGGGCATTCTCTTTTGTTCTCTCTCCTTTTGGGTGTTGTGGTCTGCAAAAGAGGCATTGAGTGGCAAACATGTTCAGTCCATAGTCTACTTTCGACATGCATCTCCCCTCCTGGGAGGATCCTCCAACACCCTTTATTTGGTGCTCCCTTCTCTATCTGAACTGCCCTTTCCCCTAGAATACCCGGCTGGCCTCTAAGCTATGGAGTAATCCTCCTGGTGTTGATCTCAGCTATTCTTGGGTATTAATCTCATATTTTGTTACTTTATATCCCCCAGATGAATGTAAT